GCTTCGCGAAGCTTTCGGGCGGTGACTTCATTGGCCGAATCCTCCTCTTCATTGACAACAGGAGCATCGAACAAATTGTCCCTCTCACTGCCATCCGGATTCTGCTCCTTGCTTCCCATCTCCAGGATCTTGGCCTTCACCGTTTCCCGGATCTGCGACACTTGTGGGCTGCAGCTCAAGCTTGGGTTTTTCAGGGATTTGAACTTCTCCATGTGCCCCAGCACGGCTCTCGTCAGACTCGTGCTGCTCGGCCTGAACCGAAGATATTGCTGGCCATTGTCCGCCACATGCACCAGGCCCTCGGAAACAGGGACCTTGGGGCCGCCCTTGTACTGCAGAATGACTTGCCGAGTGACCTGCATGCTGCCGAGCCAAACCTTGCAGGCAGAAGAAGCTGCAGAGGCACGAATACAGAAGCCTGTCAGGGCTGAGGCAGGAAGTGTGAGAAGGATGACTTTGGAAGCTTGCACATGAGCTGCTGCAGCGGGTTTGACTTTGGAAGCCTCTGTATACATGACCCGAAGCGAAAAAATTTCTCTCGTCTGCTGGGAATGGTCTGTAAATCTTCGTGGGCGCCAAAAGCGAAGCGAATCTCCTGCACATCCACTGTGCTGGAGATCTGCCGACGGAAAACACGTGTAAAGTAAATCATCTAATGGCGCTTTCTCTTGCCACTGCCAGAAGCCTCCGTCTTCGGCTCCAGGAGCAGCTGGTCGCCCATCTTCAATGCAACCTTGTTCTGGTAAACAGGCACCACCATGTCGCCGATCTTCTTCGTGGTTCTGGTGAGGGTAGCCGTTTGGCTCTCCGTTGCTTCCTTGATCATCCAGTACGGGCAAAAGTAACCGGATGATTTCTGGATGTCCCAGCGAACGGGCGAAACAACGTAGCAGTCATGCTTCATTCCTTTTTTCTGGATGACAACATCCTGGGGGCGAGGCTTCTGCACCTTTTGCAGCTGCCCCAAAGGATAGAGTTGCAGGTCAAACTTGGCATAGGAGCAGTTGCAGAACAGCAAGCCGTTGTTGCTTGGCCGGACGTCTGGATCGCCCAACCTTTCTCATGAGTGAAAGACAAACTACAAAAACAAGGTTACCAGAACCAGGTTCGAAAACATAGGCTTGAAAGAAAAAAGTTCGAAAAAAACGTGTTATGCCAGAAACTTAAGGCGAAACCTTTCCAGTATCTGTCTGCTGTCAGGAAACTCCAAGTATTTCTTGTAGAGAAGCCCTTGGTCTTCTGCTCGTGCCAGCTCGTCCTGGAAGATCTCGGAATCACCGGGCCAGAGCTTCTGAAGAGCTTCCTCCTCGACCAAAGCAGGCACAGCTTTAGTCCATTCCTTGAGTTGCTTGAGGTCCTGCAAAGCCACCTTCTCGACCTGCACCTGCTCGCCAAAGAAAGGCCGATGCTCCAAGGTAGCACCATCCTGCTGCAAGTCCTTCAAAACAAAGACTTTGTCTTTGTCAGCCTCCACGGGCTCCGTCCTTTTGATCAAGTAAGCCTGGCCAACCTTCACATGCTTGTTCTGCTGCTTTGCGATCAAAGTCTGATCATTCGAGGCCTCTAGGTCTCGGACCTGCTCCCCTGAAGAAGCTGCAGCCTGGGAAGCCTGCCCGGGCTGAACCTGCAAGGTCTCCTGGCTGAACATGCTCGACAACGTGGCCAGGGAGTCGTACTCCTTGGCCTCCCTGCCCTTCGTCTGCTTGCCGAGCATGTAGAGGATGATGCGTATTTGATAGCGGCAGAAAGCCATCTGAAGATGTGCCTTGTCGGAAGCTTCGGCTTCGACCACTGCCCATGCTTGTTGCATCAGCGCTTCTGCTTTCACCAAATCCGCTTTGCTTTTCTTGGACTTCAAACGATCGAAGTCCGCCTTCGTCAGAAGGCGGCTGAACCCGTCGATGACTGCATTGGCCGGTGCAGTGATCTGGGTCAAGGCCAAAGCAATGCGAGTCATCGGACATCTCGTGGTAGCGATTTTGAAGTCGGTGTACGCGAGGCATTTCGTGAAGTCGGCGCCCAGCATCGTGCTCCCGGCATAAGACCGGGCCATGGCATCCATATATTTCAGAACTTTGAAGGATTCACCCCCTGCGAACTGCTGAACGAAATCCGCAATGGCCGAAATATACGGTTTGCACGGAGGGTTCGAGCTGCCTGCTGCTGCTACCGCTTTCCCGAGGTCCTTGGCTCCGTCCGGTTGGGCAGCATACAGCTGCGAGATGCACATCGCGACCTCCAGTTCGCTAGGCGGTTTGCCGATCGCGAGGTCCGAGTTCAAGCCCTGCTGCAGTAGCCCCGGCAAGGCTGGCACCCTTTCCTCGACCTCCGCCGCCAGGACTCGCCAGCTCCACCCTTCTTTGAGAAGCTTCGCAAAGTCGTCCCCACTCTGCATGCACTCGTCCAGTGACAAACCACATTTGGGACCGCATCCGCTGGCCATCGCTTTGACGAAGGCAGTGGTGTGCGAACAGCTAAGAGTTGCCCACCTCTCCTTACCAGTTGGCTTCGCCAAGCGGCCTTCGGACATTTCGGCAAGGCGGGTGTTGATCTCGAGAAAGTGCTTGCGAAGTCCTTCGTCCCTCGGAAGTTCGATGGCTACAGCTTCTCGCAACTTCATGCGATCCCAGCCAACGGAAGAGATTTGAACGCCCTTGGACACGACATCGTGTGGATTTACGAGGGCACCTCCACGATTTTTCGGATGAACGATCAAGTCCATGGGGGTCGCAAAAGAGTCGTAGAGCAGGTGTCGCTCACGAAGCAGCAGCATGATCTTCTGGCATTTTTGATTTATGCTCACATCAGGCTGGTCGATCAGCTCCTGCACAGTGCTCGCCCAGTCCGGAACGGTCATGATCCAAAAAATGCGAAGCTCTTATATGTCAAAGTTTCCCCAACATGCATCATGCACTGCCTTCCACCATACAAGTGCCTATGTTGCCTACATGTTTTGCATATGGAGCTTCTCGCCAGAGCCAAATGCTCGGCCTGGATCGACAAAATTCAACCTTCAGGCAAGAAACAAGAAACGTGCCACTGCAGCCTCCACGGCTTCCGACCTTCCCTTTTCTTTCACAGCCTGCACAGGCTTCCACACAACGGAATCAGCCAGCACAGCTCAGCATGCAATGTGCTTCCCAAGGACTTCTGCAACAAACTTGCAAAAGCTTTCTGCTCGCTGTGAGAACACCTGGACTAAACAAGGAAACTGTTTACAGCAACACATATATTTCTCTGCTTTGGTTACATTCCTCAATGATTTTCTTCGCTTCAAAAATCAAGATGCACCTGCTGTGTTTACCGAAAACAGTCAACTGATCCCATGCTGCCAGCATGTGCAAACTTCGATTCTTTGTTTTCACAAGTATAAAACCAAGGTTTTACAACTAGTTAATTAAAAAATTAGAGTAGTTAGCTAACGATGTTAATCAACCTAACTTATTAGGTAACCCCCAGAGCGCCAAAGTGGTTGTGCCCCGTTGAAGGCAATACCTTGCCTGACGCGCTGTGCATGGGCCACGCTGAGGGCCACGTCACCGACTTTCCTCGTGGCGGCGGTTCCCAGGGTGCTGGTGGCGACGACTTCTCCGAGAAGACGGTCTTCACCGAGGTGGTCGTGGCAAAGCAGGAGGCGGCGGAGTCCACTGTCTTTACGCACGTTCCGACGAGGAGGGCGCAGTGTTCGGGCGAGGCGCGTGCTTCTGGCAGTGGCGAAGTGAGCAGGGAAGCTTCGGAAGCTACGTGCTTCACCGCGAGGCCGAAAGACATCCGCAGCTACCTGTTTGCAGCGAGGAAGGCGGGCACTGAGGCTTTGACAGGGCAGCGGACGACGGCTACCTCTTCCCTGGGCTCCACCACCGAGGAGCAAGCTGCCGTAGAGGAGGTGCCTGAGCCTCCGGAGCCTGTGGCGCCGCAAGGGCGCAAGCGGTGTGTGAAGTCTGCGCGCTCCGGCTGGAAGTGCCCGGAGTGTGGTTGGAAGGCTACGGGCAGGCTTTGGGTGCAGCGAAAGCAAGCCCACGTGGACAACTACCACCCTGACCTCAAGGCGGAACTCGACCTGAAGACGGCGGCGCTGTGTGTGGTCCCTTACAACCAAGCAACCTGCTGTTGGAAGTGTCCAGTTGATGGATGCGACATGGGCTTGCCGGCTACAGAAGCTTCCAAGGACGCGAGGAGGCTGGCCCGACTGCGACACAGAGAGGAGACTCACCCGGAGGCCCCTAAAGCCCTTTTCCGCCTGGCGCGAGACAGGGCCGCAAACGCTCGGAAGGCTACGACTGCCAAGCTCAGTGCAGGGGTTGCTCGGCGTCTTCACCAAGTTCGCGCTGGCAAGGCTGGAGAGCACGACGTCGTGTTCGTGAAGCTGCCGCCGACGAGGGGGACCAAGAAGGGCAAGACGAGGAGGGCTGTGACGCAAGTCGTGTGCACGCGGTGCAAACGCCTGGCTTCTACGGTGGTTGCGCTTGGTGGTTTTTCGTGCAAGGCGCACACTGCTGGTGCGAAGCGCCCCGCTCTTCTCAAGCGGCTGCGAACGACGCTGGAGGAGGGCTCACTCGACGAGGGCGTGCAGTCCGACGTCCGCTACCTTTTGAAGTTGCTGGAGGAGACGGACGAGGGCCCTGTTGCAAAGCACGCGCTGTGCGCTGTGGCATGGCCGTTGGTGGGAGGTCGCTTCGAGGTCCGCTTTGTCTGCAAGACGCGTGGCGGCTCTTGGACGCGGCAGCGCGACGTGGAGGGCAAGGACTGCAAGCCGAGCAAGCGGCGAGCCATCCGGGCCAAGGTTGCGGAGCTCAAGGGCATCCAGAAGGACGGGGGCATTGCGGGCGATGCGGCAACGACGGTCTTGAAGTTGATCGGCGAGAACGGAGGGGGCACGGCGGAGGACCAAGCTGCTGTCGACGAGCTGGCGAGGGGATTGGGGCAACATGCCTGAGTCTCCCAAGCTGCGTGTGGGTACTTGCAACGTGCGCTCTTTGACGGGCAAAATGGGGGCAGTGATGGATATGGCGGCTAACGCGGCAGTCAATGTCCTTTGCCTTCAAGAGACCAAGCTCACGACGGAGGGTCTCCACGCAATGAGGCAAGCTTTTCACGCGAAGGGCTGGCGTCTTCTACCTGGCCCTCTCGACTACGACTCCGAGGGCAAGGCCTGTGGTGGTGTGGCTATCGTTTCCGACTGGCCGGTGGAGATGGTGACGGTCCCTGTGGCGGAGAGCTTCAACACTCGCGTTATGGCGGTAAAGGCCCACCGCCCCAACCAGCGGCCACTCCTCGTCATCTGCGGCTACCTGCCTGCCAATGACGACGAGCTCAACCAGCACATCGCCTCAACGGTGCTACAATGGGCAAGCACTACCGGCGAAGACTTTGTGTTCATGGCGGACTGGAACCGAACTCCTAACCAGCAGCCTTTCTGCAACTTTTGGCGGGCGGCCTTGTCTACGCCATGGACAACGACCCGTTCTTCGAGACCCAGGGCACTCACAGACGCGCGGACGGCACGTACACGGGCAGGCTTTTGGACTTCGGGCTCTCCTCTGCGGGCTTGGCGGTGGACGGCCGAGCTCAACTCCTCGGCCCTGCAGACCACGACCTCGTGACCTACGACGTTGGACTACAGAGTGGCAGACGTGGCTGGCGTTGGCAACCGCAACGAGCTTTGGACGCGAACGCGACGGTGGACTGGGACAGCTGTTGGGCCCCTCACGACGAGCGCTTCTGGGCTTTCCTTGGCAACGCAGACACGGACTCAGCCTGGCTCCTACGTGGCGGAGCAGGCGCTGGCGGCGGAGGGCAGCAGGCCGGCACGGCCACGGGGCGAGCCTGGCAGGCCGGTGAAGGCGGAGGCGCACCGCGGCAGGGTGCCCGACGTCCAGACGCTTTGTGAACGGAAGCTGCGGCGCGCAGCTCGCAAGGCTCATGAGGCCATTCGGCAGCCGGGCAACCTGGAGCTCTACCGCAACCTGGTGAACTACGTTCGCCACGTGGTGGACGTCTACCCTGACTTTGCAGAGGCGTTGAACCTACACGGCGAGGCTCTGCTCCTCTACTTGCAGCAGGCGGCGGAGGCGGAAGCGCGGCGTGCCAACGAGGCACGTCTGGACAAGTGGCGTGAGGCAGTCAAGACGGACGTTCCCCGGCTTTCCCGCTGGATCAAGGCGTCTCAAGTGGAGGCTCCAAGCAACTTCGAAGACTTTGGCGTGGACCCGGACCCGCAGGCGAGGGCGGAGCACGCCACTGTGGAGTGGAAGAAGCGCTGGCACCGCGACGCTCGACCCGACGGGCAAGCACTGCAGCAGCTGCTCAACGACCTGGACTTTCCGGAGGCTCGGCCGGCGCAGGCTCCTACTGTGAACGGTTCCGCGCTCTTGCGGCTGGCAAAGGCGGCGGCGCGCAAAGCAGCTGGCCTTGACGGCTGGACTGGGAGCCTCTGGAAGGCTTTGCCGAAGGCTTTCTTTGACCTCCTCGCGGCGGTGTGGAACGCAGTGCTTGATGGGGCCCCGCTGCCGGCCGCGTGGGTGCAGGTACGCGTGTGCCTCATTCCGAAGGATGATGGTGGCTTGCGCCCTCTTGCCATCGCTGCGCTAGCTTGGAGGCTGGGCGCGACTTGCCTGGTTCGGCAGCTCACCGGTTGGGTGCACGAAGTTTTTCCTGCGGAGCTGTTTGGTGGCATGCCGCACAGAGGAATTGATGACGTTCATGCTGCTCTTTCCAACGCTCTCTTCCTGCAACGTGGTGGCGGGCCTCTTGCGGGCTGTAAGGCAGACGTCAAGAAGTGCTTTGACTCTGCGGACCCCAAGCTGGCAGTGCAGTGCATGCGACGTTTAGGGGCTCCTGAGAACGTGCTCACTGTCATCGAGCGCTTTTACCAGCTTCACGAGCGCTGGCTCATGGTGGAGGGGGCCTGTGCCAGGCACCCTGTGGTGGAGGCTGCGGCTTTGCTGCAAGGATGCCCGTTTTCTCCTCTTTGCCTCAACAGTATGATGACAGTGTGGCTGGCGGCGGTGAAGAAAGCTGATACAGGCTGTACTTTGTCGGTTTTCCTTGACGACAGGGCCATCTGGGTGCGAAAGCGCCGTGGTGCGGCCAGAGCTGTGCGGGCGGCAATGGTGGCGGGAAGGGAAGCAGACCAGGCTTTAGGCTTCGAGCTGCATCCGGCTAAGTTGGAGAGCTTTGGCACTTCACAGCCTGTGAGAGAAGATTTGTTGGCTGCAGCTGACGAGGTGGGCATTCCGCAGCAGACGTTTCGGCTTTTGGGTCTTCCTTACAACACCACGGCGGCCTCTCCGATCGCTGCTGGCACCGTTGGCAAGGTTCTTAAAGCGAGGTGCAAGCGCATCCAACTGTGCGGGCAATCCAGGAGTCTTCGTTGCGCGCTTCTTCGGCTTCTGGTAGTTCCTCTTTTCCGTTGGGCCGCGCCTTGGCTTCGACAGTACAAGAAGGACGTACAGGCATGGACTGGTGCCATCGAGCGAGCGGCCTGGGGCGGCAGCATACCCAGAGGCCGTTCGCCTGCTCTGGCTTGGGCAGCTGTGCTGGGGCTTGAGCTCTACCCGGCTTTCGTCAACGCGGAGACTGCAGTCCTACGTGAACACCGCAGACTACAGCTTGGGCGGCATCCGCGCGAGGCTCCTCAGACCAAGGCTGCTTTGAGGTACTTTGGCTGGACTCGTGACGACGCAGGTGTTTGGCACACTCGCCATGGCTCCTTTCAGGCGGGCGACGTCGGTGCTCCTGCCCTGCGACGGCTCATGCGTCAGGACGGTGCGCGCAAGCTCTTCTTGCAAGACAACAAGGCCAAGCAGGCTGGTGGCTTTGACGGCGACTTTGACTTGAACTACCAAGTCAAAACGCGTGACGTGGCCCAAACCTACCCGCTGCGCGTCATGGTTGGTGCAGCTTCTGACGCGAGGAGCTTGACGCCTAAAGACGGGAACGTGCAGGACTTGGTTTGCACTTGTGGCTTTGCAGGCCCTACCAGGACGCACTTGACCTTTGACTGTCCTCGAGCTACGTGGAGCGCTGCGCGGCGGACTTTGCTGGAGCGGCGGTTCTTGGCGGCGCTTCGCCGCCCTCTACCTCCCCGGCGCCCGCTTGCGGACTACAGCGTGCAGGTCGGTGAGGTGGCAGAGTACTTGAGCGAGCTTGACAGCGACCTCTTCCACTACGTGGCAACTGACGGTGGTTGCCTCCTTGCGAGAAAGGCGGAGGGTTTTCAGCAGGCTTCCTGGGCCGTCGCTTTTGCAGACAAATCCTTTGGAGGCCTTGTTGAAGGACCGGACCAGACGGCGGCGGAAGGTGAGCGCGTTGCAGTTTTCATACTGGCTGAAGCGCTCCTTCTTCACGGACGGTGGCTGCGACTTCTCGTGGACAACCAAGCTGTCGCTGGCAGGTTGCTTGGCGGTGAGGCCGCGTGCGAAAATGGTGACCCTTGGAGGCCGTGGAAGCGTGTGGCAAAGGCGGTGCGTTGGCTGCAAGTGGCATGGGTTCCGGCTCACAACAAGCAGGCCTCTTGGACGCCTCCCTCAGGCTGGATTGATGCCGACGCTTGTCGAGCTCTTAATAGGCGGGCAGACGCTGCTGCTGGCTCGGCTCTGCAGCCTTGCAGTCAAGCAGTGGCTCACGCGGCTCGTGCCGCTGACGAGAGGTTTGAGGGGGCGCGGGATGCTGTGGCAGCTCAGCGAGCAGCTACGCAGGACTGGCATGATCGCTTCGTCAACATGATCAGGCAGCAGCGGCGTCAATCGGCGTGAAGCTGCTAAGGGTGGCGTTGGCGTCTAGCTGCTCTTTCGGGAGTCCAAGCTGATGTCGTTTTTCATCTACAACAACAACAACAACATGACGATTACTTCCGGCGACTTTGGTGCCAGCTAGAATTGGCCACCTTTGCAAGGTACGGTGGGGCTCAGAAGGTGCATTTCTTACCGCTTTGGTTGGCCCCTTGGCTGTTGTCTACCATCCTGGCGAATGCTTTGGTGGCCACGTGCTGGAGCTTCCTGACTGTCCGCGTGCCTGAGGAAGCCCTCGGCTCCATCCATTCCTTTTGTACCTGGATGCTACCTTCGGCATCCGCAGCGCTCGTCACGGACGCAGTTTGGGCGGTCTTCGGTGTGTTGGCAGGAACGACTTTGGGCATGTTGGCGTCGATTCCATGGACCATCGCTTGCAAAGCCAAGTTGCAAAGCCACGCGCTTATGCTGGAGCAGATGGCTTGCTTCGATTGCCGGGCGGCGCAATGCACGATAGAGGCTGACCGTGTTCTTGTGCAGCGGCAGGTCCAGGCGCTTTTCAGGTGGCGAAGCGAAGAAGATTCAGAGCCTGTTGTTCAGACGACTTCCTCTTCTCGAAATGCCGGAACATCCACTGCAAGCCGGGCAGATCCCCAGACAGTGTGGATCCGGCGCGACATTGTCACCTGGACTCAGAGTGATCAAGAAGCACTGGACGGTTTCAACAGCTACATTCGTGGTCCACTTCGTTGTTCGGTGATGGAAAGTGTTGGAAGTGAGCTGCATGTGCCTTACCGCATATGCTTGGTGGCTACTCTTCCCATGATATTTTATAGCCCCGTGGATATTCTCCAATGCGACGACGACTGCAGATCCCATCATGGCCTGCCCTCCCTTGAGAGGGGCTTCCTGTCCGAGATTCTAAGCTGGATTGTCGTCGGCTTGTTGGTTTTCCCCACTTTCTATCCTATATTTCTTCGGATGCTGAAGCAGGCCTTCAGCGCCCAATCACAGACATTGCAGTTAGTGTTGGCAGCCCTTGGGGCTATTGCAACCTTCGTTTATGGCTACCTGTGCAGTGGAATGGTGTACGGACTTACGGAAAACATCTTCCAGCCACGACTGACCGGCATAATGCTGTACATTCTGATGTTAATCCTCCTACTTCTTCAGCTGCGATGCCTCTTCGGCACCGATGGTGCCGTTGCACGCGTTTCGGTAGATGGAACCTACCGGGCACTGCATGCAGCAGACACCTTCAGCATCTAGTAACTAGTGCTTCACTCGAGCTTTGGGTTCAGATTTTGAATTGGGAAGCTTGCTCCTTACCCCAAAGCTCTTGCACTCTGAGTGCCCTTCGCTTCACATTGCATTGACCAAACAGACCAGTAGTCAGCAAGAGTACCTGTGCCAAGATCATGACGCCACTGCTTAAGGATACTCTACTGTGTTCTGTAAGATGGTCCAGGAAATCGCGAAGAGCCGAGAAATTGCCGGTAGATTCAGCAAACGGACGCCGCGAATCTGTTGCACCCCACTGGACCCGGCTGCGCTTTTGAACACGTCTCACTCCTCGTTTCTGGGATCTCACTTAGAGCCCGGAGATATCCAGATGCTTCTGTCGGGAAGCGTATGTACGCGCGTGGAAACTACTCGGCGCCCGAGGATTCGGACTTCTGAGTAAAGTGGAGCCCTGACGTTAGAGAAGCGTGTCATTCCTGTCATCATCAGGACTCTAGAGAAGCCGCCGGAAATTTCGGAGGTTTTTTGGGCGTTTTTGGCAATGATGAGAGCTTGGGGCCCGGGCCGCTGAGCCAGGGAGATCTCCGGTGAATCAGGACTCAATCCGAAGCTGAATAAACGCATCTCCGACTTACTCGTCGAAGCTGTCTAGGATTTAGGTTTTACTACACGTAGCTGCCCACCTAAAAACATTGCTGCACGGCAACATTGACCCGAAGCCCCTCTAAATCATCTAAGGTCTAAAGAAAGTTGCCAGACTCAACCCAAACTCCTCACACTCCCCAACGACAATCCACCCAAGTCAAGGCTATGCTTGCCCACCTCCTGCACCACCGCTCCTAACCGGAGCCGGAGATCATGAGGAGAAGCTGTGGCCCCAGATGTGGATCAGTGTTTTGTTTAGTTCCCTAAATTAGGGTCCCTTTGGGGGTTCCTTCTTATCAGGATGCCGTACTATTTTGGGGACCTACAAAGGGATCCTGACTTAGAGAACTACCCATTTGGGGTTGATGTTAGAGGTGTTGGGTTGCACTGCGCCACTTGCACCACTCACATGGCCTTTACTTAGTCTTGGTCCGTACGATCTCTTAGTGCGATTGTTGAGAAAGGCCTCTGCAACCATGACCATGGCTCATATTTGCCGGCAAATGTGTTTTCAATTTTGAGAATTTGATTTATATAGGTGGTTGCCAGAATCTATGTGTATTTGTCTAGCCTACCACTACATTCGTGGAGCTTTAGTGTTCTGATTGATGTCGTTACAGTGCAGTGGATATGGTTTGTTCCTGTTTATCCGTGACGTCCGCTGTAAGTCTTGAATTAAGACATCACATATGCAACTCATATGTTTCTGGTGCCTTCTTGATAATAGTTTAACAATTGGCAGCTGTAAGGGTGACTGCTTCTTTCCTTCAAATCAGTAAGACATTAGGAGCAATGCCTTTAGAGAGCCTTACAGACCCCCCCCAACGCCTGAAGCGGTACAGTATTACTAGTACTGTTATGGCTCTGATCACGACAGTTGTTCCCATTGAACCATGAGGGACTTTGCATTACCAATATTGCTCTTATTCTCATTGCTGTGATGGCTTATGTTATCGTTTATTCCCTAAGGCTCCATGTACCTATATAGTAGGTACTTAGGCCTGAAAGTACCCATATAGGGACCCCTTTAAGGCCTAAGTATCTACTATAAAGGTACATGGAGCCTTATTGTTGTTGAATATCGAGGTCGACCGGTGCCGCAGGAGGTTCTACGCCCCATCCGCATCGAAGCGAGGCAGACAGTGCTAAGGCGCCTTGGCCAAACTCCTGAGCCCTAAACCCCAGCAGCCTAAGCCACAAACCTTGAACCCCGAAACCCCAAACCTGAAAGAAGCCTGGATTCCCAAGCCCCGGAACCCAAAACCCAAAACCCGCCACTCCCTAGTGTGAGCGTCAAATCCCGCCACTATTTGCGCTCTAAGGAACCCTTTCAACAGACACTGTAAAATCCGTCAAGGAGGTAAAGGTAACCTATAAACGATCCCATGAAACCTTTAAGGAACCCCGAAAGGAACCCTTTAAAAGACTCCTGTAACCCTTTTGAGGAATCCATAAGGGAGCCCCAAGCCCTAAACCCGGGAAGCCTTGCGGGGAGCTGTTTTAGCAGGCCTTGGAGCCCTCCGTGACTCGCGTGGCCACTGCTGGGTCACAGGCTTGGGGCCTTACCGCTGTGAGCAATTCAGGGTTTTGGATTTTGGATCTAGTGTTTAGGGTTTAGGGTCTAGGATTGTTTGCAGATTTGAAGTCTTGCAGTGCTTCCCAGCTGATCGGCAGAGCCTGGGTTCAAAAAGGATTGTTTGAGGGTTCTATAAGGGTTCTACACGGGTTCTTCGAGGGTTGAAGCTACATTACTTGTTTCTCAGGGCTTGGGATGTATCAGGGTTTAGAGTTTAGGGAGTTTCTGAAGTTTTGGGGTTCTTCATTTTTTTTGTTTGCGGGTTTAGGGCGCAGGGCTCTTGAATTGGCTTGGTTCTTTTAGGCATTACGGCTGAGGGGTCTATAGAGGTTTAGGATGCGGGATCAACCAGCATGAGCAGGCTTCCGTGGACTGAGGGTATGGCTACAAAGCCTAGGGTTTCATAGAGTTCATAAGGGTTTAGAATTCTTGATAGAGTTCTGTAGAAAGCACTATTCTCATTTCTATAGGGTTTGCTATGTAGACCATCGTCAGGCTTGATGGGTTGAGGTTCAGAGCTCCATGCAAGGTCTGAGGATTTTTACAAAGGCAGTAGTTCAGGTTTGATTGTTTGCGGAGGGTTGGAGTTTAGGTTAATACTCCTTAAACCTCAGGGACGTGAATCAACGGTCAGGTCTGGAAGGAGTTTCGGTGTATTGCTACTGTCCGATTTTTCTATGTATCACATCATGTGTCCGCGCTAGCTGTGGCAGGCTTGTGAGGGGCAAGTTGATGCAGGGTTGTTTCAAATCTAGCGATGTTGCTTCCCAACTGACAGTTAGAGCCTTGGTTCAAAACAGACTTTCTCAGGCCCGGGCTGGGTAGGTCTTGGCTAGAGTTGACAGCCACTAGGCTTAGTTCCAAGCTTCAGGCATGTACACTTGGCTGTGAGTCTCAATGCTATGGTTCGACCCCATAAAGGCAGGGTACAACGTTAGACCTGTGATTTCATAGGTTTAGGGTTTAGGGTCTACATGTGGCAGTTGTCAACTTCATGGACCCTGCCCGGTCACCCTAAACCCAAAACCCTAAACCTCCGAAGTCGTGGCACAACCCAGGCTTCTGAGGGAATAATCTCCGAGGAGCGCTACAACAGAAGAGTCGAAGAAGAGGCGCATTTTGTGGCTTTTGCGCTTTCGGTGCCGAGCGGGGGCGTTTCAGTAGCAGTAGTATTTGCCGGTGTTTGAGCAGAAGCATATAAGGTAGAGTGAGGGCTTGGGGTTTCGGGGTAGGCACTGCCAGCTGTGATGGTATGCCAATGATCGCTCCCACAGCTGCCTTAGTGCCCGGTCGGTCGGGCATGTAGGTGATTGCCAGTCTCCGGTGGTTCTGAAACGTGCGGGTGTTGGCCTTCGAGTTGTTCCCATCCGGCTAAGCTGTGCAAAGACACGTAGAGATCTTCAGAGACCCCGCATAAGCGCCGCTGTCTTGGGTGCGATTTGGCTGGCATCATTGGATCATCTCGCTACTTGTTTTGGCTGGCAGGCCTCAGGATTATGCCGAAACCCCATTTACAAAACCCTAAACCCGAACAGCCTAAGCACCCAACCGGTGAAACACAGATCACCAAAGCAAAGATCTCGAGGATCATGGACCTTGTGGTGTTACCATGACCGCTACACTGCTGCTGCTGCTACTACTACTACTATTACTACTTCTACCACTCCTCCTCCTCCTCCTCGTCCTCCTCCTCCTCCTCCTCCTCCTCCTACTACTACTACTACTACGACCACCACAAATACTCCGGCCGCTACTGCTACCACTACTACTACCTACTACTGCTACTACTACTACTACTGCTACTACTGCTGCTACTCCTGCCGCAACTACCACTTTTCCTACTACTACTACTACTACTACTGCTACTACTACTACGTACTACTACTACTACTACTACTGCTACTACTACTGTCACTACTACTACTACTACTACTACTACTACTACTACTACTACTACTACTACTACTACTACTACTACTATTACTACTACTACTACTACTACTACTACTACTACTACTACTACTACAACTACTACATACTACAACTACTACTACTACTACTGCTGCTACTGCTGCTGCTACTACTACTACTACTACTACTACTACCTACTACTACTACTACTACTACTACTACTACTACTACTACTACTACTACCTACTACTACTACTACTACTACTCCTACTACTACCTACTACTACTACTACTACTACTACTACTACTACTACTACCTACTACTACCTACCACTACTACTACCACTACTACTACTACTACTACTACTACTACTACTACTACTACTACTACTACTACTACTACTACTACTACTACTACTACTACTACTACTACTACTACTACTACTACTACTACTACTACTACTACTACTACTACTACTACTACTACTACTACTACTACTACTACTACTACTACTACTACTACTACTACTACTACTACTACTACTACTACTACTACTACTACTTAGGGACCGAAAAAGGACATAAGCATAAGCGTTTTAGAAGGATGTCCCTACTGGTTCCTCGTTGGGCTTCATTATAAGGAGGTTTAGATGGGATATCCCTATCCTAATTTTGCTTGTGTGCTTTTCGGGGCCCTAACTACTACACCTGCTGCTACTGCTTCTACTGCTACTGCTTCTACTGCTACTGCTACCACTGCCACTGCCACTGCCACTGCCACTGCTACTGCTACTGCTGCTGCTACTAGTGTTGCGACCTGCTACCACTACTTCTGCTGTAGCAATCGTGACGATGGCAATGATGTTGCAGGCTATGGTACGGAGGTTAATGCCTT